TTATTAGGGCTGGATATATGTTTTTTTTGTTTTGTTTTTTTATACAGATGCCAAGTCAATCCATTTTAGTAATACCTTATTTGTCTGAACTCATTTTTACCATTAAACCTTTGTTTTATTTACAAAAAAAGTTTTAAAAAATTCCTCTGTTTCCTGTCTTACTACAAACGCCATGAAATTTGTGATTTAAATTGGAGGTTGACCAATTGTCGGATCTGATGTTGAGCATTTTTCTAGTTATTCAATTCAATTCTAGTTATCCCAATTCATGTAAAATTGCCGCTTCTGTCATTTGAAGTCACTCTGTGGTTTCAAACAATGTGACCACTTATTGCTGGTTTAACAACTATCAAGGAAAAACACAGGAAAGTTTTCTTTTACTTAAATGTATGTACAACATAAAAGAACAAATGAATATCAGCAAAGTTTGCATTAGAGTTTGTGTTGCTCTAAATGTTAATTGATTTTATATTGCTTCCAACTTGCAGTTTTTGGTTTTCTTGGTAATAATCGGTATCAGTGCTCAAAAACCCCACATTGGTCGACCCCTAATTTAAATCAGAGGATGTCTGATGAAAGAGTCAGATTAAAGGTTTGGCAGTTCTCAGTGTCTGATTGAGATGAAATGTTGAAGTGAAAGTTGTACAACCATGTTTCACTGTGCCACATCACTGTCACTTTCCAGTCCACACACTGAACTGTAACGTGATCTTTGAAAGAGACCCTCACTCAGAACAAAGCTGATGTAAATGACATTTTCCGCTGAGGTGAAGACAAAGCAGAACAGAAATGGCATGCGTGGACTCCACTTCTGACCCTCGTCACTGTAAACATTTTACAAATATACACTACTTCAACAAGGACTCATTTTTGTTCCGTTGGCCTTTTTTTATGTTTTCATTTCTTTTTATTGTGTTGTACACAACTGCAAGCAGGCGACAAACACTGTTGAGATTGGAGTGGATTGTGAATTTGCAAAAAAACAGGTGCATTAACACATCTTTTTTTTCTCATTTGGAAAGTACATTTTTAAAATAAATTCTGAAAATGAATGTTGGTCATCTGTATGGAGTTGGATGAATTTTATGCAAGAATCTTTAGAGTATATAAATCCAGTTACATCTGCAAGCAACAATGGGGTGATTCAGCTGTGAAAAATGTTAAGATCCCCGGTTCGCGTCCCGGTTAGGATGCCTGGGATCTTTCTGTGTGGAGTTTGCATGTTCTCCCCGTGCAGCATGGGTTCACTCCGGGTTCTCCAGCTTCCTCCCACAAGCTCCAAAAACGTGTTGAGGTTAATTGGTGATTCTAAATTGTCCGTAGGTGTGAATGTGAGTGTGCTTGGTTGTCTGTCTCTAAGTGTAGCCCTCTGATAGACTGGTGACCTGTCCAGGGTGTCCCCTGCCTTCACCCTGAGTCAGCTGGGATAGGCTCCAGTCCCCCCACAACCTTAGTGAGGATTGAGCGATGTATAGATAATGAATAGATAGCTTTAGTTAAATGAATGGATGCATGAATATAGAGGGAAAACACACTTAAAATTAGGGTGACCAAACATCCTGTTTTCCCAGGACATGTCCTGTTTTCACGTCCTGTCTTGGTTATTTTTATAAAGTGATGTAAACGTCCTGGTCCTGTCCTGGAGGAAGCATACTTTAAATGTATTGAAATTATAAGGCATCTTTGAGTAAACTGCGAGTATCATTTGAGTATCGCATTGCCAGGCCGAGTGTCCTGGTTTTCGGTAATCAAAATATGGTCACCCTACTTAAAATACTGCCGTTGTTTACCATTCTATGCTTTTATCAGCTATTTGCAATAAAAGCTAGATGGCAGCATTGTCACACATGTCAACAAAAGCCACTTTCTGCACATAGAGCTGTATGTGGGTCATTTTTAGTGTATAAACTGGGTTTTTCCTGCAAAGAGAAACTTTTGGTGCCCAACAGAGAAGTTTTTAAAAGTGCTAATAGGAATTGACCAGCAGTAAGATGATAAGAATAGAGAATTAAAAAAGCCATTTCACATTTTTTAACCAGTTTAGTTGATTAGGGTTTAATTTATTCAAGCATGATAGACATTTCTGTTTATCAAATGGCAAGAAATAAAAAAATTTAAAAAGGCATTAATTTCTGACAGACCACATTACACAGACTTACTGTTACTGTATGCTAATCCATCATGTGAACTGTCATGTGTATTTGCCTGCCAAAGGCTCATTCTGAGGCAGGAAAAACCCGCGATGAGCACAGCAGGAAAATCACAGGTATAACTAATAACATTAAATAACAAAAGCTCTGATCAGTTTCAGTGTGTCAGTGTGCAAAAACAGGAGTATCTGACTGCCAGAACTGAATTAAATGCAGTCATAATTAATGCTGCTGCGTTCACTGATGATGTGCTGCGGAAAAGGCTTTCAATAAAGAAAACAGGAGGGGAAAATTTGTTGAGGTTCAATGGAAGGCAATGAAGGTTGGCTCAAGAGGCAGTTTGCTTCCTTTGCTTCACCACACTGGTTAGTGCTGTTTCAGGGTTTATTGAGCTGCTGAAGAAGCTAAGAAAGCCCTGAGCCACCAAATGATCACAAACAAACAGACAGACTTAATCAATTCACTGCTGGGAAGCCAATCTGAGCGCAAAGGTCGACCTCTTATTTCAACACTTGCCCTCAATTTCCAATATTCATTAAATCGGCAATCCATTCACAACTTTAGGGAGATTTTAAGGGAGGGGAAAAACAGCTGACACAAAAACAATTTCCCACTTTTTTGCTACATACTGTATACATTATGCATTTCACTTAAACTAGTAATTGGGGGATTTTGGGTAGTTATTTTCATCACTTAATATATTCTATATAGAGTGTATTTTGGGGAATAAAAAGGCTAATCCTGGCTGTGAACATCCTCCTTACAT